AGCTCCTCCTTTTCAAGACAAAACACCCCCAGCTCCCCCAGCCGCTCCCCATAAGACTTGTGCTCCAGACCCTTCACCAATTTCGTTGCCCGTCTCGTCTCTGGATCCAGCACCTCCATGTCCTTCTTGGAGTGAGGAACCCAAAACTGAACACAGCACTCGAGGTGCGACCTCACCTCACCCGAGTACAGGGAGACAATCACCTCCCTGGTCCTGCTGGCCATGCTATTCCTGATACAAGCCAAGATGCCATTGGCCCTCTTGGCCACCTGGGCACAGTGCCGGCTCATATTCAGCTCGTTGTTGACCAACACCCCCAGGTCCTTTTCCGCCAGGCAGCTCTCCAGCCCCTCCTCCCCCAGCCTGTAGCATTGCATGGGGTTGTTGTGACCCAAGTGCAGGCCCCAGCACTGAGCCTTGTTGCACCTCATACAGTTGGCCTCAGCCTGTTGATCCAGCCTGTCCAGATACCTCTGTAGAGCCTTTCTACCCTCCAGCAGATCGACACTCCCGGCCAAGCTGGTGTCATCTGCAAACTTACTGAGAGTACACTTGATCCCCTTGTCCAGATCATTGATAAAGATATTAAACAGGACTGGCCCTAGTACTGAGCCCTGGGGAAGACCACTTGTGACCAGCCACCAACTGGATTTAACTCCATTCACCATCACTTTCTGGGTTCAGCCATCCAGCCAGTTTTTTACCTAGCGAAGAGTATACTCGTCCAAGCCATGAGCAGCCCGTTTCCCCAGGAGAATGCTGTGGGAAATAGTGTCAAAGGCCTTACTAAAGTCGAGGTAGACAACATCCACAGCCTTTCCCTCATCCACTAAGTGGGTCACCTTGTCATAGAAGATCATGTTAGTCAAGCAGAGCCTGCCTTTCATAAACCCATGCTGACTGGGCCTGATCCTGTGTTTGTCCCATAGTACATGCCACGTGATGGCACTCAGGATGACCTGCTCCATAACTTTCCCCGGCACTGAGGTCAGGCTGACAGGCCTGTAGTTTGCCGGATCCTCCTTCCAGCCCTTCTTGTAGATGGGTGTCACATTTGCTAACTTAAGAAATTAATTAGAGAAAAGCATATTAGTAGAACTGCATTCCTTTTGGTAGTGGTTGCTTTACATCCTGCAGTATGAAGATTCCTTCAATTGTCCTTCAGAAACGTTTAATACCGTTTGAACTCCAAAGTCCCAAAGCCCTTACAGATCACTTTCTCAAGATCTGTTTGAACTGTGAAAAGCATGCCCTGCTTCACTTGCTGAAGTGTCACAACATCCATTGTAGTTGAGATAGAGTTTTCAAAGTTTCCTGTCATCTTTTAATGCATGAACAACTTCAGTAACTTTAATTTTCTTTTTCCTTTCACCATCTTGAACATTTTGTTATGCTCACTTTGGACATTAGGAAATAAATAATGAACTGACTGCTATCACAGGTTTGTCCTCAGGACAAACAGCAATCTCTGAATGTAGTGTTCCTTAGATCTCTCTTGAAATGGACAGACTTTATTACTAGTATAGATGAGTACATATACTCTTGTCCTTTAGCTATGTTACAGTATGTTAATATCAGATATTTGACCCAATATACCCTGCTTCAGTTCTCACTGTGAGGTCAGAAGAGGCTTTCATAAAGCAGCGGTCCATGGCTGCTTACTAACTCATACAAGAATTCAAATAATTCCTATTATTAAGACTTACCTTGATTTCACATGCCATTCATATCAGTGATCCAAACCCAGTGAGTAAAAGGATATAGAACATGTAGAGTAATGATCAACCAATGCATTGCAATTGCGCTTAATAAAAGTAGTTTAAAAAGCTTTCAAAACAACCTTTGTGATCTCTGGCTGATGTGATTTGCCTATGCTACTGTCTAGAGAGTGTAACTTCATATTAATTTTTGTTGTAGAATCGAATGGAAGAAAGCAAGGCCTTATTTAAAACTATCATTACATATCCCTGGTTTCTGAATTCTTCAGTTATTTTGTTTTTAAATAAAAAAGATCTTCTAGAAGAGAAAATCATGTATTCCCATCTAATTAGTTACTTTCCAGAATACACAGGTAAGCATTTATCCCAGACTATCTTCACAAAGCTAAAAGTCATATTTAAACCAGTTAGTTTTTCCTCATTAAATCGAACAGGGAAAGTGGAATTATGCAATATATTTGATATCTATGCTTTTCTACTCTATCCTTTAAAATACAAATTTAAGTTACTCAGTTTTACTGGAACTTTGTTTTTTTACTGGAGCATTGTGGACAGAGTCTTGAGATTTCTTGCAGCCATTCTGTTACCGCTGGAGTGGCATGATCGCTATTTATTTATGTGAAGAAGCACCTTTTTAATCTTTGATCTCAAGAGACAAGATACAGGGGGAGCTTGAGGAATACAGCTCTTAACCCAGCTCTTTACATAGTAAAAACCCATAGTATAGTTCTGCATTTGCATTTGCATTATAACTTGTTACCTATATAAAAGTCCAAAGTTAAAAAGCAGCCTGACTAACTTTCCTTAACAAATGTTACTGATACTTAAAGTCGCCAAAAGAATGATGAAAATAATCACAGATGTATTGCATTACTTAATACAGTATTATATTCTGCAAGACATGTATCACGTTGAATCTACAATTAACGATGAAAACAATTATAGTAATTTAATAGCTACAGAGAAAACGCATATCCCTCTCTTGGCCAAAGAGAATGCTGTTTACTCTGTGTCTTTTAGAAAATTTCATTTCTCTCATGGTCTTTGACATACTACAATAATGTAGCAAACTATTAGTATATACTGGGTAATTTCAGTTGTATAGGTTTGTATAAAAAATTTACTTTGACCTGTAACGTTTACAGTTGAAAAAAGCATGCTCAACACATTTTAGGAAGCAGTGTTGTAACGGCTTTTGCTCCACTAACACATGAATGAGGAAATGCCAACAAGGGAGTATGTCTTCATGGCGATTTCACATTTAAATATGAAATTAGCCTGTTAAGACACTGTCCATAGGTTTCTTCCTTGACCCATAACTTTTAACTGTTTGAAACCACTAATTGTGCTTTTGGCTAGGACCTAAACAAGATGTCAAAGCTGCGAGAGACTTCATTTTGAAGCTGTATCAGGATCAGAATCCAGACAAGGAGAAAGTAATCTATTCCCACTTCACTTGTGCCACAGACACAGAAAATATTCGTTTTGTCTTCGCTGCTGTCAAGGACACGATCCTGCAATTAAACCTGAGGGAGTTTTACCAGTGGCCGTTGTAATGCGTGGGGCTGACTGGTTCCCCCTAGTCAACCCCTTGGATGGATCACTGTCCGTATCTTAATCCTCCTGGCCCTCGAGTTCCAGAGCCTCATACCTATTGTGTAAGGGCACCTTTGGAAGAACGTAAGAGCTAAGGCAACCGCAGAAGGAAATTTTTGCTACTAGAAAGACAATAATGGCTGTCCCCTTTTCTGCAAACCACAGACCCATGGAAGGTTTTCTGTGGCATCCTGAGGAAGGTAACACAAAAAATGGCTAACCCCTCCAGAGGGGAGGTCCCATGAAGAATCTATCTTCTACATCTGTGCAAATTAGTTCCTGTCAAAGAATAATAGCGTGAGTTCCACAGAAAAATAACCTAGGAGTTATAAAATGGCTAATCCCTCCAGAGGGGAGGTCCCATGAAGAATCTCTCTTCTACATCTGTGCAAATTAGTTCCTGTCAAAGAATAATAGCATGAGTTCCATAGAAAAATAGCCTAGGAGTTATAAAATGATATGCTGTCTGAAACTTAAGGGGGGTGTGGTATTTTTTCCTAATGTTGCATTAACCCCTGAGAGAACTGTCATGTGTAAACCCTTGAAATTCTCAGTGATCTGCTAACTGGCATTACATACTTCTGCACCGTTTCAAGCACAAAACCACCTTCCATCTCAAATCTCTTAATAATCTTTCTATAATAATCTTTGCATAAACACCTATTTCAATCATAGAATCTGCAATCACAAGAAAATGAAACTGCACCCTTCAGGTTTTAGAATGGAAATGGCTGTAATATATGCTTTTGGAATTAATTTTAGACAGAACCAACAGGCTTTAATATCTCTCCTGTTTCTTGCAAATAACAAAAAAGAAGCACAATTATGGAAAAGAAATAGACTAACAAAACCTATACAACAATCCGTACCATAATTCAGAATCGGACGTGATTGTTGTCTTATCCCATGGCAATATTTACTAACAGGGTTCCCATAACTTTGGTTCATTAATTGTTAACAGTTTGATATTCTGTAACAAGTTGAAAAAAATGGTTTATGAAAAAGCTGATGTGAAATTTCCCTGTTACATTTATCATGCTTTCCTTTGCATTTCAGACCAACAAGCACCAAAACGTCAGGATCCATTTCCATCTCTGACCTAGCTAGCAGATCTCAGCTGGGATTCCACCGTGTCTCCAGGTTAACACGTGTGAAGCCATCGCTGCATTGGAAATGCACTATCCAAACACAGCTCTTTCAGCAAACTGCCAAAGAGATTTCCTTAAAGTTGAAACAAACATTCCTTTGTCCATAATCTTTGTGCCAGAGAAGCATTTCATCAGCTCTTCTCTCCAAATCTTTTTAACCCAGAGCAGGAGTTGCACGGATTCTCAACATCAGAGAGCACTGGCTGCATGCGGTTTGTGCTTGGCCTCATCCGTTACACAGAAAAGAGCATTGCAGTGCTCAGTACAAAGCAACCAAAGGGCCCCAATTCTGATTTGAAAGTATTTTTCCTTTTTTTCCTAATTAAAAACAAATAAATAATTAAATGAAACAATACTAAATAATGCATCAGTTAATTCTTGGATCAATATAAGGTTAGAGGCAGCAGAACAGAAATATTTTGCCTTTCTTATTTATGATATGTATTGCAAGCTAAAGAAGTCTAATATCTTAGTCACTTAGAAACAAATTACAACGGAATGGAATAGAATAGTTCAGTTGGAAGGGACCTACCACGATCATCTAGTCCAACGGCCTGACCACTTCAGGGCTGACCAAAAGTTAAAGCATGTTGTTAAGGGCATTGTCCAAGTGCTTCTTCAACACTGACGGGCTTGGGGCATCGACCACCTCTCTAGGAAGCCTGTTGTAGTATTTGACCACCCTCCTGGTAAAGAAATGCTTCCTCATGTCCAGTCTAAACCTCCCCTGGCGCAGCTGTGAACCATTCCCAGGCGTCCTGTCACTGGATCCCAGGGAGAAGAGCTCAGCACCTCCCTTTCCACGTCCCCTCCTCAGGAAGCTGCTGAGAGCAATGAGGTTGCCCTCAGCCTCCTTTTCTCCAAACTAGAAAAAACCAGAGTCCTCAGACGCTCCTCACAGGACATTCCTTCCAGCCCTTTCACCGGCTTTGTTGCCCTCCTCTGGATACATTCAAGTATCTTAATATCCTTTTTAAATTAAAAAAAAAAAAAAAGGGAAATGTACCTATCATATATATTTATGCTTTTCACAGATCCCTCCCTGCATTTTTAAGGCATCAATGTAGTGCAGCATTTTCATTTCAACCCACGTGCATTTTCAGAAAATGGTTCCATGTAGTTTTCCCTCTACTCCTAGCAACTACACTTGTAACTAGTTTATTGCTGCATGTTTCTAGGCAGATTACAGTGAAAATAGCTGTGTCTAATGGTAGTCCAGGACAGAGTTCGTGTCCCAAATCCAGACAAGTTTCTTCCAGAACAGTCTCCCCTTGCACAGTATTTTACAACTATTTGTTATATTTGAGAGGTTTTCATGGTAACTGTCTTCAAGATCTCCAGCGTGTCGTGAAGCATGCTGATCAGCCAGAGATAGATGTTTAGTTGTATACATCAGGAGAACCATGAGGTAGGGGAACGGGGCAGGTGATCAGATACACTATCGCATTAAACACGAACGACATACCCTAGACACTGCACTTCCTAAGTAGATGTTTAGATATGCTGAAGGGGAACGAGGCAGCACTGGTTTGCCTTATTCTGTGTTAACCAAGTTCTGGGGCTGTGAAAGACTGTTCCAGGCAAAGGTTCCTCAAATTGATTCAGAAAGCTTTGTCACCTAGGTTTTACCATGTAAAAGGCATGGAAGAGATGGCATCTCTAGAGGCCAGTAAGTACTGACTAGAGAGAGAATTTAGATGACTAGCTGAGATCTGATCTTCTTGACTAAAGATTACTGATGTGAATCCCAATTGATGCCTGCAGGCTGAAACTGAGGACACTTATTAGGCTTTCTCTGATGCGATACCTCCTTTATGTTCTTTACAGTCGGGACTTGACTCTTCAACACCAAAGATGAAATTGCAGTATTATTACTCCTGCTGTGAAGATGGGATGTCGAGACAAAGTTCAAAGCCTGATTCATCTCTCACTGAAAACAGTAAAAAGGATCTCACCGACTTCAGTGTGAACTGGGTCAGCCTCCTAGCCGTTGACTCAGGATCTCAGGAGGAGACAAAAAATAGCAAAAGGCTAAAAACAGGACTCTGGAGGCCTCGTACCCCTGTTCTGCACACAGACAGCGGGTAGCACTCCTCCCTGCAGAAACTACAGCACAATTCACAGTCACAAAATGATAATTATGGAGCTGATTCTGCATTTCTTCTCAGCCATTTTGTTAAAATTAGCTCAATATTTTTGTTTAGGTTAAGTGATCTCACAGTCAGACTTTTGTGGAGAATTATATCTTTAGTGACTTGATATTTTAAAGCTAAAATGAGTGACCACAATGAAGCATTTCTTTGATAAATAAATCTGGGGTTTAAGGAAGCATCCATCTTTGTCGAAATTCCTCCTCCCTTAAGAAGGGCAAAGGCTAAGTGCATATGATGATCTAATGTAAAATGTGATTTTATTCAGTTTGAATTTCACATAATCAAATCAAGACCTGTATTCTTACTTGTGTTCTATTGCTCTAATTCAAAACAGACTTACCAGGAATTACAGTTACAGAAGTTAAAGGCAGAACATCTCTCTGAGGTACACGCAGCCACTTGCTCTATCCGCACCGGATTGTTCTCTACTGTACACTAGAATGGAAACTTCTTCAGACCTTTTTAAAAGATATCCAGGTTAATGAAGTTTCCATCACCTTCTTTTGCAGACTGTTCTTCCCTTAGACATGACAACTGATCTTAAGTTTTTCTTGTTATAATTTTGCCCCAGTTCTCCTTGCATTGTCATAGAATTGTAGAATCGTTTAGGTTAGAAAAGACCTTTAAGATCATCGAGTCCAACCGTTAACCTAGCACTGCCAAGACCACCACTAAACCATGTCCTCGAGCACCATGTCTACCCTTCTTTTAAATACCTCCAGGGATGGAGACTCAACCACTTCCCTGGGCAGCCTGTTCCAATGCCTGACTACCCTTTCGGTGAGGAAATTTTTCCTAATATCCAACCTAAACCTGCCCTGGCGCAGCTTCAGGCCGTTTCCTCTCATCCTATCACTCGTTACTTGGCAGAAGAGACCGACCCCCACCTTGCTACAGCCTCCTTTCAGGTAGCTGTAGAGAGCGATAAGGTCTCCCCTCAGCTTCCTCTTCTCCAGACTAAACAACCCCAGCTCCCTCAGCCGCTCCCCATAAGACTTGTGCTCCAGACCCTTCACCAATTTCGTTGCCCGTCTCTGGACACGCTCCAGCACCTCCATGTCCTTCTTGGAGTGAGGAACCCAAAACTGAACACAGCACTCGAGGTGCGACCTCACCAGCACCGAGTACAGGGAGACAATCACCTCCCTGGTCCTGCTGGCCATGCTATTCCTGATACAAGCCAAGATGCCATTGGCCCTCTTGGCCACCTGGGCACACTGCTGGCTCATGTTCAGCTGGCTGTTGACCAACACCCCAGGTCCTTTTCAGCCAGGCAGCTCTCCAGCCACTCCTCCCCAAGCCTGTAGCGTTGCATGGGGTTGTTGTGACCCAAGTGCAGGACCCGGCACTGAGCCTTGTTGAACCTCATACAGTTGGCCCCGGCCCATCGATCCAGCCTGTCCAGGTCCCTCTGTAGGGCCTTCCTGCCCTCCTGCAGATCAACACTTCCACCCAACTTGATGTCATCTGCAAACTTACTGAAGGTGCACTCGATCCCCTTGTCCAGATTATTGATCAAGATATTACGTCCTTAAAGTTTGAGCTCTTCAAATACTACAGCCTGTTATATTTTCTGTCATCTTTTGATGGACACGTAAGAACATGCCCACCTTTAAATACGTGAATCACATCTGTTTAAGTAGTTTTACAAATGAGGGT